AAATTGCTCATCAGCCATCATTCGGCGAAAAATTGCGTTAACCTCCGAACTTGACATTTGCCTCACTTAGAGCGTCAGCTAAAATATATAGGTACTGCCTGTGGTAGGAATGTTACCTTTTCCTTTAACTTTGAGCTCATTCAATGTCATGCAGTTAAGCCCTTGTTTTGCTGAAAGTGGGGGTCATCGGTGCAACACCCATCGATGATTGTGAAATGTATTGCAAAATTCCTCATGGATGATCGATGCTATGATGACCCCCACTTTCAACGCAGAACTTGCAACGTGTGCAGAGGGCAATATATGATGCACGTATGTATTTCCTTCAGCGGTTGCAATTTTTATAAAGAAAATTTATTAGGAGGAGGGAAAAATGTTGGCAGGTTTGGCAACAGTATCGTCCTCCTCCCCCGCTGGAATCACGCTTGCATTCGACGCACTTATTCATATTTTTAATCTTTGACACAAGTCCGAGCTAAAAGCGTGTAAACCGCCTCCCCTGCCCCCCGCTCGTGAATCTGACGCGCATCCTGAGCTGATATTATGTTATAATTCACCAACTTACGATGCGCGCGCAGCGGCCAATGTTTCTCCGGTTGCATAAATCTTACTTTGAGAGCGATTTGAAAATTGTTGACCCACCGTTTTATTATCTTTTAATGGCGACTTATGGCCGGTTAACGCGCTGCTTTAGGTGCGCTCAACGCCGCCGCGACTCAAGTGCGAACGAGGCTTTAATAATCGCAGCTGGAATTTTTCCGCCTGTTCTTTTTTTTCCTTGTTTCTTTTCAAATGATTATAGTTCGTGGGCTTAGCAGAATCCTCTCCGTGGAATGAGCGTTTTAAGTTCAAAGCAGAACTCGGAGGATAAAATCATAAATCCTTGATTTTTCCACCCTTTTTTCCTTCATCTTCTTTAGTGAGACAGGGGGGCGATAATTTCAGCCAACTCTCGGGAGAGGGAGGAGCATTTTTTTGCAAGAGAAAACTTTCCTGGGAAAGGAAAGCACTTTGCGAGAAAGGAGCAAAACTTTGAAAATGCCTTAAAATTGACCAAAATTGATGCCGAAGGCAGTCAACTTTATGTGGTTTCCTCCAATTGATACCCCTGTGCGAAGTGCAAAGAGGAAAAATCGTATCCGTTTTCATAAGAAAATATTCTTCTTCGGCAGTCACTGGTTCCAGCGAGGAAAGTACTGATTACTTCAAAAAAGCTATTCTACAAGCTGAGTAAAATTTTGACGGGCCACTGAGCAATTTCTCACCATCCGAACCAAATAAAAGGTCACACGTCTTATTTGCAAAATTATACTTAGAAAATAATCCACATAACGAGAAATTAAAAAAAACCAACTTTAGTACTAGATATTAGCAAATATTTTAAGCATAGATCAAATGGAAGATAGATTAACCGAATGACGTCATGTGTATTTTTGCCATTTAACCAATATCAACTGTAAACACTCATGTCTTATTTATGGATTATTATCCACACTTCCCTTGTGTTATTCATCCTCCTCGTAAACTTCTGAAAAGAAAGTATGTTGCGCAGACCTTCAATTTACAAACATACATCTTGTCTAGTGGTTCATTTTGACAAAGGAAGTATTCCTGTTTTGAAGATGTTTTCTTTCTTACCTCCTTTGAGATTAAGGGAGTATTGCCATTTTTTCATTGTGATTACCAGGAAAAGGGCATCATGACAAGAACATTTTCTGTCATGAAGCCCTCAAACAATCCACTTAATTCCTGCGTGATGGGTAAAACGAGGAGAAAGGAAGAAAATATTCCCAGCAGTCTAACCTAGGCGCGGAAAAGTAAAATTGACACCAGACTGAACTCGAAGAGTTATGAAGCGCCTTCAAACACAAAGAATACTTCTCTTTAGACAGAGTCCTCTAAATTCCAGCTCCTGCTTATCTGGTTGAATACAAAGAACATCTTTGCTGCTAGTTTAAATATTTATCCTCCACAAACATAGTCTAAAAGTAGTTTTAAAAGACTGCTTTAATATTTGCTAAGTTAAGAAAGATGAAAAGATTAACGTATAAAATTGAAGAAGGATTTCAAAATTTGCAGCCACCTATAATGAAAAACGTTTAAGAGATCTTTATTTTTCTTATTTCCAAACTATCAATAGATAAGATGTGTTAAATTGTATCATGAACATAATAAATAAAATGGTTTCGTTTCAGATAAGATGAAACGGGCACAGTATAAAGTTGCGAGAGGTTGACATTTTGGATACATATTTTTCACAGTTAATGAGCCCCCCAAATCTGCAATTAGCGCAATAGCGAATTGTATGTAATTTAAATATGTCGCACAAACTGATTGCAGTAGACTCACGAGTCGTAAGACGGTAAGTTAGAATTTTTTAGCCAACGTGCGTTAAAAATCAGCATAAAGCTGAAAATCTCAATACAGAGGGAAAAAGCTCATATGAGCACATTTTCCCTCAAAGAGATACGCTGTTTGGTGTAACACTAGTAACGACCATTCAGGAAGGCAACTGCAGACGCGTTTAAATATGCCTGCTCCTTACATTGAATCGAATAAAAGATGCAACTTCAGCGATTTAAAAAAAAACTAACGAAGGAGGAAGCTCATATGAGTTAAAGTGGCTGTCCTGATCTCTAGGTTCAGATTTTGGAGTGCCCATTTTTTTAACTGATTGGTTATTTTGAAATTTGTTTAGAAAGATGAATCAATTGTATAACTGATTAACGTGTTTGATGTCATTTTAAAAGCACGTATTACGTTTGTCAGGTTTGCAGGTGAGGAACGTCATAAAGAAAACAAACAAAAATTAAAAATGAATGAGAAATCGTTTGTACAGGGCCCCTCAATTCTCTCTCCCCCATTTACCACGATCCTAACACCTGTCTCTCTCACAAAAAAAGAGAGCGTAATTAATTTTGTCACACGGATGCTTCAACGCGTGCACCAACTCCAAAGCCAAAACTCCGCGTATGAACTTTCGAGAGTTGCTAATTTTTCCAATTAAATTTTTATTTTTAAGGAGTGTTTTAAATTATTTTTCTTAATTAGATAATTTAGATCGCGAATAAAAATTCTGAAATACTGGATGGAAAATATTCACGGATTTCATTGGGAAATCGTATTTCAACGTCTGAAGGCTCACACGGCGTTTTTCCTTCGGACGGCAGAGTGAATAATACACGAAAACTATCTATATGCAATTAACCTAATAGAGGAGGGCGAAAAAAAGCGATTTCCTCTCCCTAAGTCTTCAAAAACTAGCCATTTCTACGGAATAGATTTCCTATTTCGTTATCTCATTATTTATAAAAACGAGAGGGACTCCTACACGGACTTCATGACTGCCTTGAACCTCCGTATATTCCGTATATTCCGTATATCCGTATATTCTAGAGAGAATATACGGATTTCCTATTGCCGGGAGTTTATCCTCTGGATTGTAAATTTCCAAATAGTGGGTAGAGATAGAACTACCAATCTGATTTGAAAATACTATTTTGCTCTTCCACAATATTGAGATATTTATACAAACTTACAGTTACTGGACAGAAATAAATTTATTGAACACAAAATGAACTCATATGAATGAACAAAAATAAATGATAAATGAACACATTACAAACATTTGTCACGTGCAAATGAATTAGCTGAATAATTAAGAGGAACGTTACGCGCTATTGTGTTACGTGTAATAAGAAATAGGGGCCCGCGTTACAAAAGCGTTGCGATTTTATAAGCATCTTCTGATGTGTGTGTTTGGTTCTTTTCTGCTAAACTCCGTCTAAATGAATAAAACTTGCTAAGCACATAGGTGTGATTTTTGACAAAGATATCCATTGAAGTTAGTTCTTATTTCTGAGGTGGGGAAACTGTACATTTCTTATTAAGTCTGCAGCTCTGTCGTCATCTCGCTACTTAAAAAAAACATATTTAATCTTGTAAAACATTGGTTCAAAATAGGATCCCCTTATACTGAGAGTAAAGACAATACGAATCCATTTCTGATTGGTTCCCGTATTTTAGGTCGCCACAGCGTCACAAACGGGAATAAAGATTACATATTTCACCAATTGCAAAGATTATAAACTGGAATGGATCGGGGAATTGGGGGCACGGCAAGGAACAAACGGAATGAGAGAGGGAACGGAGACAGGAATTCGGGAATGAGTTGATCAAAGATTACAAAAAACGTTCAATTTGTGTAATCCTCACATAGAGTACATAGAGTCGTAATGTAAGTGGGAGAGCTGGCGCCATGTTCTGCTCGACGAGTTCCGAGCCCGGTGATGCGGGGTCACTTTTTCGATACATATTCGATCCAAAATGGCGGTGTGGAATATGGCCGGGTCCCCGTGTATCGCAAACAATCGATTATGTATCGAAAAAGGGACCCGGCACCGCACAGGAATCTCGGAATTCGACCCCTGGAAAATGCATTAAAGAGGCGCCAGCACTCCCACTTGCATTACGACTCTGTACTCTATGAATCCTCATTCCCGTTTGCGACATCCGCATAAGCCGCGTTGTCTTTACTCTCTCTATTGAAGGGACTCTAGTTCAAAACTGAGAGGAGATGGGCTACCTCGGAGGCCTTTAGCTTGCAATAAATTAAAGAGCGGCACACTGAAAAAAATTCTCGGCGTTTTCACCAAGGTCCGTTGGTACCTTTACCATCTCACTTTTTTTACTACTTATTGGTAATTTTACCAAGACAGACGGGTAAGCTTACCTAAAAACCGGTATTTTTACTTTTTTTTCAGGTAAGAATACCACTTATATTGGTAATCAATTCCCGGTAACTTAGCCATTTTATCTCGGTAATTCTACCACAGTCGATAAAAAATATTGGCGTTTTTACCAAGGTCCAGTAAAATTACCGAGAAAGTTCAATAATTTTACCGAGATTCCTCGGTAAAATTACCAATTCCATAAATGGTAATTTTACCAAAAAAAAACTGGGATCAAATAGAACCCTGAATTCTTGGTAATTTTAACCTTTTCTTAGTAAATACACCGAGATTTTTTTTTCGGTGACTTTTTGGCGATATTCCCCCTACTATAAGAACTCTATCCGTCCACACTCTCTTAACAACAGTAACTTCTACTCGATATATCGAATGAGATTGCCACTAATCAAGATCGAATCTTTCCAATGTAGTGCTCTCATCGACGACACCCCCACCCGACGATCCTCCCTTCGCCTCCCTGTCGCACCTCTTCATAACCAACTTTTTCAACTTGTTAGGGTCACCCATGGTTGTCACTCTATCTTTCAATTTGATCCATTTTCCGTAAGCCGCGTAGTTGAATGTGCACTTGCACTTTTTCCCCTTGCACTTGCCGACCGTCCAAGAGGCGGTCCCGACCTGTCTCGGGGGTGTGCTGTACTTGTGGTCGCAATCGTCCTGGCAGAACTTGTTGTCCTGCGGCGTGGGTTTCTTGTTCCGGCAAGGTTTGGGACCGTGGAGCCTTGGCTCGTAAGTTTGATCCTCGTCGGTTGAATCCGGTGACGGAGGAAACTGTGGCGCGTTCTGGATTTCACCTCCTGCCATTTGGGGGGAGGCTTCCGCTGGTAGTTCGAAGCTATTACCTCCTGTGGAACCGGAATGAGCACTGCCTTCGTCACCGGAATGAGCACTGCCGTCACCGGAATGAGCACTGCCTTCGCCGGAATGATCACTGCCTTCGCCGGAATGAGCACTGCCTTCCTCCGAGGTCCCAGGCATACTCGATGCCGCTGAAAATAAAAGTCGTTTGGACCGCGTTTAGCAGAAAAGAACCAAGCCACATCAGCTATTGCAAAATGGATCACTAGACAAGGTATGAATTTAAGCAATCTGACACATGTTTCTAAACCAGAATTTCACGAAGAACACGATTCACACAACAAAAATTACTGAAACCAACTCCTAATGAAAATATTTACGTTTTTATATCACACTGGTTACGAGCAATTTAAACTGCCTGCTCACAAGAAACTCAAGGCTCTACGTGAGTCAAATCGAGCACTACACCGGTTTCAGCAAGCTTCTCAATCGAGCAATGTTCATTTCCCACCATGTGTTGTTTAAACTATAAGCAATTTGCTGTAGCTGAGCCAAAGCGTCAAGATTGAGATTGCCAGATTTTTATATCGCAGAGACTGTCATGATAACGTTGAGTATGAGCAATATGAATCACGTAGAGCATTGAGTTTTTATAAGCGGGTGGTTTGAATTCACGTATCAAGAATCATTAAAATATCTTCGTAAGGAGTTGATTTCGGTAATTTTTGTCGTGTGCATCGTATTTTACGTGAAATTTTGACTGAGGAACATGTATCAGAATGCTGAAATTTGTACCTTGTCTAGTGGTCCATTGGACGTATTTCTACCAAACAGACCTATGTGCAGGTGAGAAATATGGGGTGTGCTCTAGAGAGCTGCATAGCATAAGAAGCAATGTAAAAGTGGGCGTGATACCTTTTGAAGAATCGGGAAAGCAGGATTTTACATTCTATCAAACAGACCTATGTGCCAACTGAGTGTGGGATTCATGAGCCACGGGCATGGCAAGAGAGCGTTGTGGACAGGGCTCATGAGTTAAAGACGAAGCGGGACGACGGCGGTTCCATCTCCGTTGACGTCACTGGCGCTTTATTATTCTCATTCACTCTTACGGCCAGAGGACTAACGAGCAAGCCCCATATTTCTCACCTTCACATAGGTCTGTTTGGTAGAAATACGTCCAATTTGACTAGACAATTCAATTTTTTATGAGAGAACCTTTGGGTGGATTTATTTGAAAATTTTAAGGAATTTACTTCGTACTATGCAAAAAAATCACTGAAATTTGCTCAAAAATCCGCAAAACCGTTTTCATGTAAAAATTAAAGTGCTCAACTTTTGCCAATAGCTGATGTGGCTTGGTTTCTTTTTGCTTGACGCGGTCCATTTAACACATTAGAGGTTCAGATTGTAATATTCAGAATGTATTTATTTACGTCTGCCTTTTTCCTTCAATTGATAAAGATACAATTAATAGGGGTCCCTGACCGCTACGGGGCGCTTTGCGAGGCTGTGCATAATCTAAATTTATAACGGCTTCATCGAAGAAATATCTCCTATCGATAGCAGCAAAAACCTTCGAAGTCTGGCCAGAAGATATTTAGGACGAGCTGTCACAAACACATACATAAAGTCGCGATTATAGCGCCGCCTCGCGCTCTGCGACGCCCAATCGCCATTGCCCCCTATCCTCCCAGAGATCATCAGGCAATTGGCACCTTCTGATCTCCTCCTCCACCCCTTGTCGCCAACCTTTCACAGGACGTCCACGCCGTCGCCTTCCGGGAGGAACCCAATCGAAGACCTGCTTGGGCAACCGATCATCTGCCATCCTTCGCACATGTCCATACCAGACCAACTGCTTGGACCTGATATCGTGCACGATGTCCTTTTCCACACCCATTATCTCGCGTACCCTTTCATTGCGGATACGCTCTCTTCTCGATATCCCAGCAGACCTTCGCCAAAAGTCCATCTCGGTTGCCCTAAGCATGTCTTCAGTTCTTTTCTTAAGTTGCCAGACCTCACTCCCGTAAGTTACGATACTCTTCACGATGACGTTGTAAATTTTCCTTTTGGTCTCCTTGGAGATACTCTGGTCCCAGAGAACCCCATTTAGCATCGCGATAGCTTTCCTGCCTTGCACATTCCGATCTTTAATGGCCCGATCCAAATTTCCGTCCTTAGTTAACCGAACTCCGAGATATTTATACTCTTCACAGTCCAGGATCTTCCGGCCATCCTCCAGTTCAATGCTTTGCTGATCACCACCGATAACCAACTTCTCCGTCTTAACCACATTTACTTCCATTCCCCACTTTCGGTATACTTCCACTAGCTTCCGCGTCATGTAATTCGCATCTTCTTCGTCCTGAGCTATTACCACCTGATCATCAGCAAAGCACAGAGTATAAAGGGTGCCATCTTCACGTAGCGGGACGCCCATTCCCGAAAAGCATCTTTTCCATTCCTTTAAAACTTCTTCCAGGTACACTTTAAATAAGGTTGGCGACAAACAACACCCTTGTTTCAGTCCTTTAGTAATTAAAAACCCCAACGATAACTCCCCATGCGATTTAACCCTAGAGAAAGCCCCACCATAAAATTCCTTAATAGCACTAATTAGTCCCCCACTAAAACCCCTTTTGTTCAAGGCTTCCCAAAGTTTCATCAATGGCACACTATCGTAAGCTTTCTGGAGATCCACAAACACTAGATGTAATTCCTGGCCAACTCCCTTCTTTTTCTCTATGACGTGGATGATGGTAAATAAGTGATCAATCGTTGACCGACCGGCTCTGAAACCTGCTTGCTCTTCCGCTTCATGTTCTTTCCACTCCTCTTCAATTTTTGCTTTCAAGATTTTTCCATACACTTTGCTCAGGGTACCTGCAACCGACAGTCCTCTATAGTTATCACACTCATCTTTTCTACCCTTCTTCTTGTATATAGGTGACACCCAAGACTCTTTCCATTCTGTCGGTACCTTTCCACCGTCCAAGCAATCTTGCATCAGGTATCTCAACCGTTGAAACAGCTTGCAGGTTCCACACTTGATCAACTCAGCAGGGATATTTCCCGGACCTGGAGCTTTATCGTTCTTCAGCTCTCGTACGGCCTTTACCACGTCCTCCATACGGATCTCCAAGTTATGATTATCGTTAGTATACTCCAAGCTTACGCCTCCATCTTGAAATTCAGGTCGCCTTTCTGTCAGTAAATTTTTAAAATACCCCTCCAGTTTATCAATGGATATCGGAGATATTAAGTCACGCTTCATGTCCCTTCGCAGCCCTTTCAGCAACTTCCAGCTCACAGTGCTTTTCCTTCCTCCTATGTACGTGTCTATTTTGTTACAGCTCCTCTCCCAAGATTCGTTCTTTTTCTTGGTTATGAGCCTTCGTACCTGCGTCTGAGCTTTTTTATACGCCTCTTTGTCTTCTGTTTTTTTAGAGGAAAGGAACTGATGATATTTTTTCCGTTTCTCCTGAATCTCCTTCTCAATTTCTTCGTCCCATCAGTAAGGTTTTTCGCTAACTTTCCTATCATCAGCGACACCAAGAGCTTCCATTGCTGCCGAGTGAATGCAATCCTTCAGGAACTGATACTGCTGTTCGGTATCACCGTCCCTTGATTCGCCCAACTTCTCATCCAAGCGCTTTCCATATAAAGCCCTTACACTTGGATGCTGCAAGCTGTCAATGTTATAGTTTACAAGCTTGACACGATCTTTTTGTTGGTGAACTTCTTCCTGTGCTTGCCTGGTCTCCTGGCTCCCTTTCACTGGGAAAGCTATTTTTGCCCCGAGGAAATAATGATCACTGCCGCAGGAAAGACCTCTCCACACTCTAACTTGCTGAATCTTCATTCCCGTGTCTTGTCTGACAACCACATAATCAATGATTGATTTCAATCCGCGAGTAGACTGAACCCAAGTAAATTTATGGATATCCTTGTGTTGGTAGAACCCATTGAGCACCTTCATGTCCCTTTGCTCACATACGTCAATGATACGGGCTCCGTTATCATTTAGTGCCGCCTCTCCGAAAGGGCCGACGATCTTACTTTTAATTTGACGTCCTATTCTACCATTGAGATCTCCCAACACAATGATTTCCCTCCTGGATCCAATCTTACCAATTTCCTCGTTCAATTCTTCGAAAAATTGGTCCTTCACTGCGACAGTGGAATCATCGTTGACTCCATACACTCCCAAAATGGTGATTTTATGGCCAAACACTGTCATATTCATCTTTATCATTCGGGGGTTAACAGCTTCCCATGTAGTGATGCACTTCCGTAGGCTCTTGCGAATAAGAATTGCAACACCCTGTTGAGCTCGCTGATCTTTTTCCACGCCACTATAAAACAAATCGTATTCCTTTACACTTACAGAGCCTTGTCCTTTCTTCTTCGTTTCTGTTAATACCGTGACATCAAATCCGTGACTCCCTATCTCCGATACCACTTCCGTCATTTTCGTAGAAATTCCTTGTACGTTCCATGTTCCAAAAACCATCATCCGTTTACGTAATTTTTTCCGATAAATCCGTTTATTTCCATTTGTACCGAGGCAATTGTTATTGGGTCTTTTAACAGTATTCCTTTTTCCGAGTATCGGGGAGTTAGCCCGATGACTCAACCCCCAACCTGGAGGACCGGGGTTTGATTTCGGAGTTTCCTCTCCTAGACAGGTTGCTTCCACTACAGCTGAGAGCCCTGTCTGCCCTTCCAATGGGTGGTTCATACGCCTTGAAGCCGGTGACCATCTCCACTACCCCATGAGGCAGGGGTTACCAGCTGGGGTCCGCAGGATTGCTAAACCTGTGACATCAGTCCCCCATACGGGCACACAATGAACAATGTCACAAACAATGAACATCTAAAGTCTTCTCTTCAGTCTCGTGTCACCCCTTTTCCGCGGAAAATGGCTACCTATTTTGATTTTGCGTTGTCTTGAGTCCATGCACTCATTTTATGACTCTGGCTGTGAAATGATTGAAAATTGTAATATTCAACAGTACTGGGCTGATGAGATTTTGAAGGCTAGTATTTATATCTAAAAAAAATTCTCTAAACGACTCATAGGCCAAAATTTCGACACCTTTTTTAAACCATCATAAGTACTTACAAATATGTGATGTACTGGGAACGGATACGTTTTGGGATGAAATAACACTCTAGGAAACGATGAATTTTCACTAGCTAGTCACCTAGGAGATATTAAAAAGAAAAATATTCACTGGTAAACCAAAACTTTGCAAAATGTTGCGAAATATACTTAAGGCTCACTATTTTTTATCAAACCTACAACTCGGATGTATAAATCTTCTATGGCATACCGCAGAGTCACTGAAGATAGTAGAATGTACAAAAATGAAGAGTTGAAATTTTTTAAAAACATTTTTTAAGTGTTTGAGCAAAATTTAATATTGAACGAAAGCCCCAAAGAAATTGGACCATTTTATCACAAGAATCTCATCAATAATATCAAATGTTAAGAATCTGAAATGTTTCCGCTATATATGTAAATGCCAATTGTATTAATTTTAGCTCACTAAAAGGCAATGAAAAAAGTTAAACATTTTCTTTAAAAATGCGCTTTAAATGTTCGCGTATTTAAAGTTCAAAGGAAACATTTGAATTTTAGATGAACTTTTACAAACTACCAAAACTGTGCGATAAAAAATTTGAATGAGTGAAATAAAAAAATTACCGTAAATACAAAAACTTTCGGAAATCTTTCAATGTACCTATAGCCCAGCTATTTTTCATCAGAGATGAAATGCTTTTAAGTATTACCTAACGTTTCCAAGCATTAAAATAATATGCTTCAAATTTTTATGCTCTTTTTGCACTAAAAAATAACCTTTTTGAATTCATTTTTACTCAGTTTGAATTAAAGCAAGCGAACAATAATCATTGTTAGGGCACAAGTCACTGATAACTAAAAAATACGTCAATAATAATTACATGTTGCATTGCAGCCTGTTGGAAGACCGAGCTTTGTGGCGATTAGGTGTCGCAAAGCGCCAAAGAGCGCTATAACAGCGACTCGTATGTATGTATGCATTGCAGTCCGGCAATTATGTGCCCTACATATTCCAGATTCAAATTTTTTACAACTCTTTCTCAAAACTACGTCTTTGTATAGCTGTATTTAAATTCAAATTCATTGATTCCGGTTCGAATTGGCACTTATGGTTGTTTCGAATGCCAAAATATTTATAGAGCTCTCATTAACACATTGATATTGCCGATTAAATTTTACGTATAAATCGAGGAATGTACTCACGTTTCATATAGAGAAGAGCTAAGACCGATAGACACAAAAAGAACCAGGGTCTCATCATCTTGGCTAGGTGACTTTCACACTAAATCCTTCCTTTTAGTTGTAATCGTCACTCTCTGAATGCAAGCTCAATTAAAATTTCCCGATCACCTGCAAGCTGGTTTTATACAAGCTCGAAGGGGAACAAGGTTTAAAAACTATAACTTTGAACAATATTTCAAAAAGAAATGAAAAAGTCCAACTGTCAGAGAAAAACACGATTCAAAATCGATGCTCAAATTTGAAATTGAGGTCATCCAAATATAACTATTTACACCATCTCGTTTGCTCCTGCCCATAGATGGTTGGCTTGGCTTTAAACGTTGAAGCATTTGACCTATATTATGAGCTTATATTGGTATTCCAACGAGACCATCGCTTTCAGCTGCCCCAAAAAAATAAATTGAATTAATAGCTTGTTTCCTATCTACATTGACGGTCCAACTGTGCGAGTGTTCTCATTCAAGATGTGAGCAAATAGCACCAGTGATAAAGTATACATTCACTGTATAGAGCTGTGCACATGACCTATTATGATCTAACACTTGTAGAAATGATTCGTTGCTATTAATCGTATGTTACAATAATTTAAAAAAAAAAAAAAATAATAATTACAGTTTCCATTGGAGAAAATGCGACTGAAATTATGCGGTACCTATTTAAGCTCAAAAAAAAAAACTAAAGGAGGCTTTTTTCTCAAAACAGCTACTTATTTGAAATTTCGTTCGACTAGGGAGTCTAAGGCNGGGGGGGGGGGGGGCAATAGAGCTAGGTTTTGGTGTGAACGTTTGATTATGTTTTCCAAGTTACATATTTTTGCCGCAGTTGCTCTATGCCTGCCTTTTTGTTAGACATTGTTGGGAGTTACAACTTGTGGCTCGTTATTTTATCAACAGATGCAGCTGTCTGAATAGCTTAACGCTGCAATGCCCAAAATATGAACAAAGAACATGATTAATCACAAATCGACGGGAGAATATCATTGACATTGTTTCCGCTGAACCGGGAGAATATTGAAAAAGCCGTGTGGACATTTGGGCATAATCAAATTACTTCTGATATACTTATTTTTAGGACAATGATAGGTTTTTTTTTTAAAGTTTGCGAATACTCCAGAAATAATTGCAAATGAAATCCCCTGAAAAAATTGAAGGGAAGTGTTCACCCAAATCCAAGAAAATCCGTGTTTCAATTTTTCCAGTGTCCAAAGGCTCGTTCGGGGTTCTTCTTCTGCTAGGCACACACTGGGCCGAGTCAATAAGAGAAGTCGAACTAACTTTGGAAACTTTAAAAGCTTATAACTCCGTTTATACAAAACTTTGAGGTTCTAAAAAGTGGTTCCGTTGGCTTCCTCGTTGAATTTTCTTCTACACGCTCCCCTCAAAACTTAATACGTGACGAAATAAACATACAAATTTGCAGTTTTGGTCGTTAATTTCATATCCGACCTCTCTAATTGACTCGATTCTACTGTGCGGCGGTGTATGGATGCAAACCAAGCGCGGAACGAGCGTTCATATAATCGCTACTCTGACGTATGGCCATTCGTATCTTTTTACTACAGGAAAACTGTGCCGCTTTTTGATTGGTCAACGAGTTTTTAGGCTTCATGATGCTCTTACGGCCGTAAATAAACAAACAAAATGGCGCCTCACCGTAACATCGATAAGAAGCTAAAATTTGACAAAAATTTCAATTATACGGCAGTAAAAATTTAAACTAGCATGTCTACGATTGGCACTTGAAAAAACACATGAAAACACTGTTAAATCGCCTTCCGCCTTAATCACAGGAGGATGTAAGATGTGCATAACCTGAGACTTGCTTGCTGATAACAGCCATCTTGTTTGTTTATTTACGGCCGTAAGAACGTCGTGTCAGCCTATTTTCACGCGACCAATGAAAAACCGGCACAGAAATGGCCACCATACTCTGTCTATAAAGGTACTCTACTCTGACGTAAGGGCGTCCTTTATTCCCACATGAGCCGCGGGAAGCGTAGAGTTACATAAACAACAGGGCTCACGTGGAATTAGTGATACGCCCTCACATCAGAGGAAGACGATATGCCACGATACACGAGAACGTTGCCAAGTTTCTATGATAAATCGTTCCTCTTCCATTAAATTTGTGTGAATATACTTATTAATTTGCACAATTTGACGACATTGAGCAAAAGGTCGGAGGAAATCCAACTGTACTCCGGAGCATTTAATTAGTCATAAATAGAGCGAGAGCAATTATTGTATGACTCCATGTTATTATTATCAACTCGCGAATTCCACCCGGACAATTGAACAGGCCGCTGCACGAAGTGCAGCACCATCGCGACACGACTTCTTCGTGCCCTGCGTCACGTGGCTCTTTGCTGGGCATTGCATACGGGAAGTGCTCAAATGAAAAACAATCAAACGGTACCAAGTGTTTCTAATAGTATGCGTGGTGCTCCTTTACGCGAGGGAAATCCTAAAGTTTTCGCCTCAAGAGCATTTAATTTGAAATATATATATTTTTCGCCAAATTTTGGTCTAAATTTTTGGAGGGGAACATCCATTTTTAGCCATTAGATATTCATTACATAAGAAGGACCGTCGTGCTGCCTTAGCGACACCTGATGGCGATTTGGACGTTTTACATAAAATGGGTTTTATCTCCATAGTGACATAGGCTCTGTCATGCGTGTATCAATAGTCGCAGGATTCGAGTCACAATGAAGATGATTCTTTTGATTTAGAGCCGTCAAATTACGGTCACTTACTCCTTTTAAACATTAACATTCATCCATCCAGCTAGAGTCCCTTTATACTGAGAGTCAAGACAATTCGGCTCATGGATGTCACAAACGGGAATAAAGATTACAGAAATTGAACGTTTTTCGTAATCTTTGATCGGCCCATTCTCAAATGCCTTTCTCCGTTCCTCCTCTCATTCCGTTTGTTCCTTGCCGAACCCGTAATTCCCTGGTCCATTCCAGATTATAATCTTTGCAATTGGTGAAAATGTAATCTTTATTCCCGTTTGTGACACTGTGGAGGCCTAAAATACGGGAACCAATCAGAAATGGATTCAAATTGTCTTGACTCTCAGTATAAAGGGACTCTACATCCAGCTATCTATTTATATTTTGAGTAAATTTCTCAGAAAGTTCAAAACGAGAAACCCGAAAGCTCCCCTGAAAATCCCTGTTTTAATCGAAGAAAGGCAAGGTGGAGACGTTGAACCGCCGTTTTTTTCTGAGCGCGGCAGCAAACTTATAGGTTAGAACCCCCATTTCACTCGTTCTTGCGTTTTTTTCTGATCCGCGCCCGAGACGGTGCAAAAATAAAATCAGATCTGCGTTATTCGTGAGGCTTTTAGCGCGGGCAGGGCGGCGCGGCGCGGCGATGTCGTGATCGCCTCAAGATAAGGGTAGCATCCCGGCGACGAGCGGATGAGGCAAATCGCGCATCCTTGACAGGTGCCGTGGATTCCACCTTTTATCAGGCATAAAAAAGGGGGATTTTGCGCGTGATCTGGCAGCGATGGTTGAGCGAGCGTGTTGCGAGCACGGAGACTTGAGCGACCGATGATGTTGGGAGCGCGATCTTCTGCTTTGGTTTCGTGACGTCCACCGTCGCTGCTTTTCTGGAAACTCCCTTTAAAACTATATAAGAGATTGAGAAAATTCGCTCTCTGCGTGGAATATCTACACTGAAAATGCGAGGCAGGCTAACCGGTCCAATTGTAGACAATCATGAAGTTTGACCCAAAAAATGTCCTTTGTGGGAGATGTACGTGTCCTCCCCTTCTCTCAAATTTTGGGCAAAATCATCTAATTTCTTTAATCATGGCAACGGTAACGGACCTAAACTAACGAGAAATGTCTACTTCCTCCGATAATATTTAGCGGTAACTTTATCCATGACCTCATAAATATCGATATCTTATAGTAAAGGGGATATTTCGGGGCAAAATACTTGCTTTCCCCGGCCAATTTAAAAAAAGATGCTATTGTCACGGTACAATTCTTTATCAGCGTAAAATAATCTCGGGAAACGGTCATCAGTATTAGATTTCTCCAAAGCTCTATTTTTTTTACTTTATTTAAACACATTTGAATATGGACGGATTTGGTTGCGAAGACTGAGCGTCAACTTTATAGTTAGAGGTTTTTACGCGCCGAAAGCTAAAAACTCATAAAAGTCATATTGTTATGGTTCTGTAGGTATACCGTTGACGAAAGTTGCAAACCTGGGAAGTCAGAAAACTCACTTATTGTATTGATTTTGAGCCATGCTTTGTATTAGCATACCAGTAAAATGTAGACAGTGATGACCTTAGAAGGTCCACTCCAAGGGTCAAGATACTTGTAAAACGCGAACTAAACAGTGTCAGTGCCCGAGGGATGTCTGCAACTGATAATAGCAATCAATTGTATATAGAAATTCAAATCCCGATACATGCCAACATGTACTGCTAAGATATATTCGCATTCCATTATCGTGCTTAAAGCACGACTTCATTTTAGGATTACTTGCCCTTAAAGTTTTATGGAAAGCCCGGTGCTTGGTTATGTTCATTCCGTGAAACCAATTTTCAGTAAAAAATACCAGTTTCTTAAAACTCAAAAACTCCATAAATCTTAACAAGCTTGATACACATAAAACATGTTTGGATTCACCTTAGAGGAAGAATCAACGAACGAGATCGCTTAATTGATGTCTGAGTGAGGATTAATTGAAGATCAGCTACCGGCGAATTTATAAACATGGCTGCTATGCTGTCGTGCTAAGGAAAAACGCCGTATATACCTTCAAGCGTTGTCAAAGTTCCTTTGATAAAACACGAATTTCTTGGTGAACTTATGAATCTTTGCCTTCCGATTTTTCAGATAATTTTGTTCGCAATTCCACCTAAAGCCCTTGAAAATTTCAAGGGTAAATACTCACATCTTTCCTCAAAAATGAACATTTTATCGAAGGAAATTTGACAACACTCGGATGTTCATACGGCGTTCTTCCTTAGCACGGCAGTATGAAAGTGAACCTTCAGCGAGAGGCTGGCATGGCAGTCGGGGGCAACCCAAAATAAATTGAAAATCACC